TAATATGTATAGTTAATATGTAATTAACACATCCCAAAAAATGTATACATGAAAAGTAAGAAGGAAATGTTTCCCAGAAGATTCTAGATATACATACGGAACTCTTAGATGAAAAAAGAAAAAAGAATGCAAAGTGGCCAAGGGAAATTTCTTCCAAGTAGTCGTGCACACATTTATGATAAATACAAGCGTAACAAGTGGAATTATATGATGGAGGAAGGTATCGAGGATGGATGCACAAAACTGTGGTGATCTGTAAATACAAAAACATCGGTGCCATAGTCTGGAATATAACTACTCGTATATTTCTCATATGCTGAAGGAGAACAATTACTTTCACAATTTACCGCAGGCACAGACAAGGTAAGAATAATGTCTTAAGGAAAATGTAATGTCCAAAAGCAATAAGCTTAACGGGAAACGACAAACTCCCTTCATACAAAGGTGAGGAAGTGTATGTGGCAACTATGTTTGGAAACAACACATACATATGATACAGTACATTACAGATAGTTCCTTCGGCAAACTTATGAGTCTCTACGATAAGGAGAAAACCAAGTATGTAATACATAAGACGACCAATAACAATGCATGAATAGGATGCGATAAAGTGAAACAGCAGGTGCATAATCACGGATTGCGTGTACTTACAGATGAGGGACTACATACGGAAGTGTTGATAACGCTATTCATGATGCTACTGGAGGAATGCAAAGAGCAATAGAATTCACAAGACGTGGGGTTGTACATCAACGGCCACACAGGAAATTTTTTGAACGAAGAAAATATGGAGACGTTCGCAAACATAGTAGATAGCCACAGAATTTCTTGGGGATGTCAAGAAAGAGAAAAAACACGTTGAGTATAAACCATAGACATCTACAAGCCTCATATAGGAGGAGAAAAACCATCAATAGCACATCAGCGGTCATCACTATGATAATAATGTAGCTTCAGCAGAACAGATTCAGCGGCGAAACATAACACGCATACATACATGTTACATTGAAATGGTGTTCATACGAAGGGCCTAAAAGGAGATGACTTTGAGAGTACTTTGATAAATACAGAGTACAAAAACATGCGAGGAACTCCTACCAGGAAAAGGAGGGGACACGTCCTTCCAAAGAAACGGACACGAGGTATGTGAAATAGTAAACAAATTAGGGAGATAATCAACCCCATTGTTGGGCACAATTGCAATGCTAAACACCAGCCAAGGGCAGGTCACCAGTTACGACTCATCCTCTGAGGATAATATCTGAAGCCCGCCAAATATTTCATCTATGATTCTATCCCCCATTCGTCTTCACTGTGGGGGTAGACAAAATTTCCGTAACATACAAGGGATAAAAAATGTCCAAATGGTGAATGCATAATTTCCTATTTGTAATAATCCCCCTAGAAGGATCCTGAGAGTAGTCCCCCTATTTCTTCTCTTAAATACTCCTTATACATAACAGCCTAGAAACATACGGAACAAGTGCAAAAAGATTATTGTCCATCTCTTTCACTTAATGATAAACATGGCATATGGGATTCTGTATTCCCTCGCACCTACCAAATTAGGCCACACTGTTCTATGACACACACACAAACATGGAATTTACATAAAATGCTTTCCCCCATCCGGACGGTTCGATATGAAACAGGGCACGCCCCACTGAAGACACTGCAGTAAAAATCACACATTGATAAAATATCGTTAGAGATAAAATCATAAGTTCACAGTACAAAAGAAAAAGAACAAGCAGATATAAGTACTACAATATTCTCGAAGTCCAGGATGTCCACTACTTACATATCAGATCAGTCTGCCGTAAAGTTGTAATTACAAAATCGCCTATCATTCATTTATCAACGTAAATAGAAGTTATGCCATTTTTCTGCCATTTCTATTGTTCCAATGAGAGAACAGTTAATGTATGTGTTACTGATAGAATTTAGGGACTTCCTAGTAACATGGAAAAAAGAGGAACTTTTTGCTTATATCTTTGCGAAACGGGATTCATCAAATTTGACACGGAAAAGGAACATTTAGAAATATGGTGTTTCTGGAGCAGGTATGTTTGTGTCTCAATAGTGATCATGATATAACCCATCAAGTAAAATAACACCTACTTTGTTGACGCCGCTTTCTCATCTTACCAGGATATATATATTATGGTAACCCCTGCATTATATCGAAATGTTTTAAATCACATGGTGTCCCCTTTTTTCCGATAGGACAAAGAAAAACAAGATGATAAAACAAGAACTCGTAGAAATCCGAAATGGGACTCCTTCCGGTTGTCCATGGGTCACTCTGTTGGTACCACTCCTTATAAGGAAGGCGCATCCCAACACAGACCACGTCATAGGAGAGTGATTCGATAGACTGACTGAGGAATCAATCCATATTAGACAAAGACGCTTCCTTATATATAATTATGGTCATAGAATGTGCCTATTCACTATCTCACTTGGGACAATCTAAGTCCTCTAACAACCATACAGTGGTGGATTCACTAATAATTAACGGACAAACAGACTAATAAAACGGAAGAAGATACCCATATTAACACATGGTAGACTCCAGGAGGATCCTTTCTAAGCCATAACATATTCTCTTGGTGATAACTAACATATGCAAGTAGAGTAAGATGACAGGGGACACAACTCCATAGTGTACCCACGTGCACAGACAGGGAGTTGTCCTACGTCTTAAGCGATGGTACTAGAGGGACCGGGATTGCTGTCATAATAGTATCGCTCACTCCTCAACTCTAAACCTTGAACCAGTCCTATACTCATACTCGCCAAATGGGCCCCTGCTTCTTCTCCTACGCCGGAAAAGGAAGGACTGAAATATTGATCCCGTCGCCCCCTGAGCCGCCGTGGAAACCATAACTCATTGTGTCTCCCCCCCTTAAGGCCCTTTTTTTCTTGCCCCGTTTCCTTCGCGGGCCCCAAATCCTAAATACCCCATAGGCCCCCGCGAGCCCCAAGAATAGAACGCCAAGTATACCACCTATAATGCTGTATAGTCCAGCCCCCTCTTGCCCTGACTTTGTCTCTGTTCCCGGCACTGCAGAGACCTCCGTGACTGCCTGGTCGCTTCCTCCCCCTAAGGGGGAGAAACTTTGCTTTGGAGTTTCCTCTGGCTTCTTCCCCTCCACTTGCGGCTTTCCTGAGTGTTGTTCGCCCTTTTGGGTTAACTGTGCGTTATTGGGGGTGGACGGTGACCGGGCTTGGTTGTCACTCATTCGACTTGTATAACTGTTGCCTGCGTGGGTAGTTGAGACAGCGGATACGCGGTTAGCTCTTCCCAAGTCTCCTGGTCCCGGAGGATCTTTCAACGGCGTACCTTCCTTTTGGGCTTGTGACTGTTGCCTGCTCTCCGGGAAGCCTTTGGGGGGTTTCGCTTCTTCTTTTAGTTTAGTTGTTTGGCTTTCTCCGGATATTGACGCTCCTAGGTGTTTTGTACAATGAGGCGGACATTTGGAACCCAATTCCTTCCTGGGGCTCATCCATAAATTACGGGATCCCTCATCCTTTCTTCCTTTCTTATCACATTGTAGTTTGTTATCTTCTACTCCACAATAGTACCAGTTTGACACAGGATTCTCACTGTGAGGATCAGTAACCCATCTGTCGATATAATAGGGCCCGCATTCGGGACATAATAGGCTCATGCCTGTATATACGGTGAGGATTAAACTCATAGCGGCATCCTCACATTTCTTTGCTATATTTCCCTTCTGGCATTCTGAGGTTACGGTCCCTGGGCTAGGTCCGCTTGTACCAAACCAACTCTTCCACTTGTTTCGAGTATTCAGTAATCCATTGTCGACACTGCTGCACAGGTCCTCTCTTCCTGGATATTTGCTTTTGATTTCACTCACTGAATCGATTAATCCAGTAAAAATACAAACTATTACTATGAGAAGATTCTTGCCACCCTCAGTGTCAGGCCAGCCTCCATCTGAAATTGTATTTCCATTTAATACTGTATACCACTCTCCGCCTGTCCATATCCTGTTTTTGTGCTGATCAGGAGTGGTCCCTAGTTGGTTTGCCTGTATTTTCTCAATGAGCTTATCCATTAGTTGACCCCATGTTAATTCTTTCTTGTCATTATCCTTAAGCCCTGAGCTTATACTGGGGTTGAATTGGGAGCCCCATAGGTTCGATTTTGACTCTATTAACACTCTATTTAACCATTCATCGAGCCCTTCCCATCTCGAGTTACCTTTTTTCGGTAACGAGGGATAACAATATGGTACACGGTTCCCCTTTGTACATTTGCCACTTGTTGTGTTCGGATATCCCCAAGAAGGGTGAGGCTTTCCCCAATCATCTAAGCTCCACCCCACATTTAAGGCATTCGTCATTACTTGACGTTCTTTGTTGCTTACTCAACTGTTTCATCCGGTGTCCTCTTGGACTAGAGGTTTGATGCTCCGCTAAAGTTGCGTTTCCTACTTCATCCAAGGGGGTGCTGATTTGGTGCTGTTTTTATTTATCCGAATTACCTCTAGTTTTCTCTGATCTTAGAAAAAGGTTCTGGTAGGCTCACTTTCGGTCTTCATCTGAGAGTCAAGTTTAGAGCACTCTTTCATCTCGCATTGGGACCATCGGAATATCAATATATACTCAATCATGCACGCTTTAGTTTAGTCTTTTCTTGCGGGTTGGTACCGCTGGTGTTCTTCTTCTCATCTCTTAACTGACTGCTGGAGACTTCGTCGGGGAAGGGGGCATTGGGAGCTCCTGTTTTCCGCTTATTCTTCTGCTTCCTCATGAAGTTTCCGCATTTTGCGCTATGTGGTTTCGGGGAGATCCCAGCTAGTGTTTTGGTTTTCTAGTGATACTTGATATTGTTCTTCTAAGATTCCTTCCTCCTCACGCCGCGATCAGTTTTTAATTCTCTTCGGCTCCATATTTGCCTTCTGGGGAGGTAGGCTCGGCTGGGATGATTGGGAATTCTACAAGGGCGGTATTCTTTGGTTGTTGGTTTCTATGGCCCCCCTACCGCTAGATCCTAATCCTCCTGCAACGCTCGGCTTTCTGGGGGTTTGAGTTTGGTGACCCGATGTAGTGTCCTGATTATACATATCTCATAGGTAATGGGGCTTAGGATCTTTTTCTTCGATACTGCTTCGTCCCTATATTATCCACTACTCCAACTTCTCCTCCCTATAGTCTGCCCTGTACTGAGGCACTTCGGCGGGGGATGCTGTCTCCGTTAATGATTTTTTCGGCGTCCTTGGTACCTCTCTCGATTTAGTGGATTGATAGGCGCAGTTTTGCACTGGTTATCATCTTGGATACATCCTATCTGGCCCCGCTAAACCACTGATTATATCAGGCGCGGGTTTCTGACTTGTTCGTCAACTTAGACCACAGGTTCACCTGTCCCGGGGCTCGTAGATTGAACCTTTATAATTTCAGAAACCCCTCCCTTATTCGTTGAGCTGTTTCTTAGTCGGACACCCTCTATGTTTCAGCTTACTGTTATTTATTTTGTATTTTTTTTCTACTTAAGGTCTCCCCTGTTCGTGCATCCTGATAGCACTTTTGGCCAGGTCCGGACTCCCCTCTCCATATAATGGGGCGCCTAGGCCAAGAAACACATATTTTCCTCGGGTTCCTGGGATTTGTTAATGTTCGGGGGTCTTCTCTCCGAACTGTTCTCGGGTGGATCGATGTCTTCCTCTATTATTTTGTCTTTATTGATGTTTCCTTATAAGACACCCATTTATGGGGAGTGGTCCATTATTCGCAGGCTCAAACTGTGAATATTGTCGCGCACAAAGGCTAGGACTTAGACCTGGCCTAGTAGACTGAGTAGTTCTATTGTTCCACTGTCTTCCTTTTTCGGACTTCTTCCTAGTTAGTTAGGTGGGGGAAATGCTCGTCTTTAATAGGATCAAACTTGTGTCGGTGAATTATTCCTTAGATTTCCCCCCTGCGGAAGGGTTTGGTCATGTTTAGTCAGCTTCAGGGGGTAGTTCCATAACTTCTTAGGGGGCTTGGCCTTACTTAGTGGTATGGTTGGTTATGGCTGGATGCCTTATTCTTCTGCCGTACCCTTGCTATTCTCCTAATTTGATTTATCCCTACTCTAAATTTTGCCTTGGGATATATGGCACGCTGTTTTGAATTAGATAAACATTCAATTCCTTCCTCCTCTGCTGCCATACACGGGTGCGTGTAGAAACTGTGGGGGGGGGGGCGTCTCTCTTCTAGTCTCTACACTTCAAACTCTTTAGTCTCGGGACATCATTTATATATCGAGAATTATTTCCCTTGTGTTATGGGAAACTTTGCGCCTAAAAATGCAAACCTCCCGAAATATCTTCTTCCTATTCATTTTCTCTGAGAAGTAGTCTTTACTGTGCTTTCCGATTTCTGGGGTAGTGCGGTTGTTTCGCCTGGATTACGCGTCTGGAGGCAGTGTGTTCTCATTTGGGTTTGCAGAGTGGTCCCTTCTCCCCTTAATGGCTGTTTGGCCTGATGTTTCAAGTAGTCCTGCTCAAGTGTATCGTCCCTTTCTTCCCTAACCTTCGTAGTTGGGCTGCAACTTTTGCCTTCCGTAATTTGCATGGGAGGCCTTTTCATGCTTGGCTTCTCCTGGGGGTACGTTGCCCTCAAGTTTAGTGCCTTGGTTAATCATTATGCTCTTAGGAAACAGACGTCATCCATCATTGAATTTATTCAACGTTTGTTCAGCTCTGGCTCCATCTGGCCTATAGGTTCCTTATTTCACCTAGGTCTATACTATTTTGTTCACGCTAGGACTCAGGCGCCCTGTTATCTCCTGTCTCCGCTGCGGTGGTGATTTTTCTGGTTGTGCTTCTCAATATTGTTCCACGCCGGGGCAGCATTGCGGTGTAGGCTATTGCCTCTTCCTACACTTTATTCCTTTAGATTCAGGTAAGCATTGCGTTCGGTATAATGTTCCGTGCAGACTTAATCTTGTCCGGCTGCCTGGCTGCTAAGGTTAACTCTCATCTCAACGGGTACTCTAGGTAAACTAATGCTTCCACTCAGTCGTTTTTCTCCCTTCTGTCAGTTTTTCTTGTTTCGTCACAAATTTCTGGTGTCCCGCTGACTTGATTTCTGGGGAGAGAGTTCGCCTTCGGTCTGGACTTTTTATATTTTTTACTATCTGGAATTTTTTATAATCGTTGTCCTTTTTTACGTGTTTTTTCACACAACTACTTACTGCTAATCTCTCAAATCACACTGATTCAGGCGGACTATGGCTTCGCCCTACCGCTAGGTTTAATCACATGCTTCTTTATACTTGTTGTGTGTTCCGTTTACCTGGATAGTAATGTGTTCTAATTACTCCTTTTGCCTGACAGGATAACTATTATAATAGCTTCTATAGTTGTACAGAAATTTAAAGAAACTTATTTAAAACTGTTATATAGCTGTAGGTATAAGATCAGAAGAAGCCATTACTGGATATTACATCTTAGTGCAGCGAATACAATAAACCCCCTTAAACTCTGCTGATTCCTACTTCTTCTAAGTCTTCTAGTGTTCAGTGCGATCTATATTACTTTGGCTTCGATATACTCTTATAAAGATTCAAATATCTCCTATTCTATTTTAACTCTCATCGTACTCTGCTCATTTTCCGGTTACTACCCTGATAGTTTGTCCGTAATATACCATCATTATTTTATCCTTCCCCTTATAATACTCGTAGTGTATACACATTTAGAGCGCTCCTTCATTTACTGACTCAGATCCCCTATATTTATTACTCCTTTGAAATTTATTCGTTATCAACTATTTAACACATTTCCTACATTTCATTATTGTGTGCACAAGGGTGCACTGTCCAAATGACCCTTCCTGATTCATCTGTTAGTTTTGTAATAGCATGCATTTCATCTGATTCCTATATAATCAACGACTATTGCTTGATTTACATCCTGGCGATATGTTAGGCGACGCCTTCGGATACACGCTAATATATAATGTATTCGTACGGATCACTCTACGTGAATACCATATTATCTTTAATGAGGTGTAATTCGTTTGATCCATATGGCTACTTGTCCTTACTTAGCTTATTACTTCTTCAGGAAGAGTCAGTTTTTCCTCTTCTTTTACAATCTATGCATTAAGATATACGACTATTACATCCATATTCGAATACGATCTGTAATTTCTAATCCTGCATTTTTCACTATTTATACCCTTCTAGAAAATAGGATTTGCACATGAATGAATTTTATTCCTCTCTAAAAAATAATTATGCAATCGATTATTTAATTATTACCTATACAGTGATTTCTTACACGTTGAATACTTTCTTTCTCATTCCAATGAATCATCCATTCCTGCACAACCGTCGATGCAAATTTACGCAATCCTCTATTTGTGCAATAGGGTGCGCGTAATTCTAGTTTAACATTTATTCCTGCATACTTGTTTTTGTAATTCTACTGCTAAATTTCCGGTCTTATAACATGGGGGGTAACTGGATTCATCCATGTCTTTTGTAAAAAGATTGGTATAACTGGCTTTACCTACTCACCTCCATAGACCATCTTTGTAACAACAGGTAACCATGATGCTTCGCACCTCCCCCTTCGTAATGGTATTGTCTTATTCATTTTTCTTATCCTAGTACTTGTAACCGTACTTTATGTTGCTCCTACTCTGAATACTCTGTGTAACAGTATTTGACTATTGATTCTACCATAGTCCTTAGTTCAAGACAATAGAAGGATTAATCCTTCTGAATCTGGGTTGCTACTCAGGCAGTCTCTTTTCTAAAGCATTTTTGACCTTTAAAAAATAGACACAGAAAAATCACGACGTTACTATGGAAGAACACAGAACAAGAAAAAAAAAACTAGGAAGCCACTAGAAAAATAACCTAAAAATCAGTGACAGACGCATTTGAATAGGATTTCATTGTAACCTCTACTCAATGGACAAAATTAATATTACATTCTAAAAAGGCGCATTGTTAAGGCGTATAAAACATGTTCGGGGACATCAAGGTGTCCCAACCGCTTTATCGTATTTCGTCAGAATATAGATAATTTTGGTATGTACTTAATGATAATTCTATAATCCTCACATGTATATGTACATAAATTCACATATGCATATATATACTCCTCTGATGACCATGTATAGATGAAAATGCCGAAGAAGTAAGGTTATATACAATATGCAGGAAGCACCCCTCCCGGATTATTCCTCGAATTTGTGCATCCGCCCCCTGTGGCATCATAATGTAATGCAGAAATATCTAATGATTTTTAATATAGAGAAGATTTCCACTATACATTGATGCATTCCTATCTTAAAATATAATGAATAGAAACATCCTTGATAAAGAAAGCATATGAAAAAATTATTTATGGGAGAAAAACATCCCTGGAATGTTTTCCATGAAGGCTCGGGATCCTCCTTTTTCTTTTTGAACGATGTGAAAAAATTAACCGCTCCTACAAAACAAATATTGCAGGATATTTGAACCTGCAGCGCAAAATGGAACACATCTCAAATATTGAACTCTCCACTTATTCTTTGTGTCTTTCGGTATTGATCCGCCTATGTGTCTTCTATTTCCCTCTTGGCCTCCTGTTTCTATCTATCACCCAGGGCAATATGTATTGATGTCTCTTATACGCCGCTATTCTTTAAGCCCCTTAAATTATTCATACTTATGAACATAGAATGCTACCTTAAAATTAACCTATGCTATCATGTGATGCATATGGAATAACCCTGGTAATGTCTTATGTCCTTACTGAAAACGCGTTTATCATTTCTTAATGATTTACCCATTATGGCAGTGCAATAGAATAAACATCCTGAACACTGTTTATTCCTGCAAAATATGATTAATTATATCCTAGCTGAATGTCCATAAGCGGCATTATGAGCTCCAATTTCTCCATATTCCGGCCATCTGGATAAATAAATATGTTCACTTTTATATTGTTCGATTCTAAGACTAGACTGTTTTTCATATTCCTCATTTTAATTGGTGCAGTTACCTAGGAACCTGAATACACCTCCTCATTATTGCTATGTAATGGACAATTATACTCAACATGCAGGTTGCGGTTTGTGTGTCCTCTGCTGTAGTCGACGTATGTGCCTTCTATGTAAATCGAAACCTAATTGTTCCCATTCCTTCTCTATTCTTCGTTCTTTGTGATCTATTCCGCACCAGAACTAAATAATTCACCCAAGAATTTTTATCCTTCTCATATATAATCTCCGGACGCTCCCTTGTAATTGCTTAGATTAAGACATATCCTCGATATAGAAATGATAGGGCCCTGAGCGCATAAATATATTCACACTCCTCTTCTCCCATTCTTAGGTTGCCATATCTGCCATCGTACTATTGCATGAAATAAGATGCTTTAATTTCATCTTCCCGTAACTATAAATGGACAAAAACAGAAAGAAAGGTATAGAAAATTCGTATGGTATGTGAAAAGATGTGAACATAGACACCCCTAAGGAAAATAATGTCTATTTTCCTATACTATCCAACGCAGAAGACCAATAACTATAATTTATTTGACTTCATCTGTTCCTTAGCTTAACTTACAATGACGTGTAAACGCGTGTTTGAGAAGTCACACTCACACTTCTCCTTTAAATATTGAACCTCCCAATCATATACATTCCTCATTACATCTGAAACCGACGTGGCAAATAAGAATGTCTCCTAAAATAGAAACTTATGTATCAGTCTATTATGTAGGCTCCAGAGATAAACGATTTTAAATTAGTGTTAAGGACTTCCAGAATATACGGGTTAAAGTGGATTACTCTGAATCTAGTAAAAATAATCCGACTTTCTATGACCTGCGAACATCTTTCTATAACACAGCCTCTCCTTTTTGTTTTTTCTTCCTAAAAGATTCATAAAAAAATATTTACCTACATTAATAATCACTGGAGAGCATTAAGAAATGATGGCTCTAATGTACACATATACACTGTTACTTCATTATCACATCAATCATCATCCCTCAGAAAAGAAGGAGTAAGCAGGTATTCTTTCATGTGGTTTCCCTTCCTCTTATAACCTCATTAATTGACGCAGCTGGCGTAAGGGGCCGGTTATATGTCAATAAAATATGCCACATCATACTTCTTCTCTTATTTTTTTTTTTTCCTTTTTTTTTGCCTGTCTCTTTTTTTTTCTTTCCTGTTTCCATCTTTTCTCTTTTTTTCATGTTTCTTTTTTTTTTCGT